AGGAAGGAGACATTAAAAAACTCCCTTTTACAGAAAGAAAAGGAAGAAGTACAAACAACTCAATGATCACACAGTAAAGGGCAGAGCGAGGATGTGAACAGAGATGTCTGAAACTGCCAAGTCACAACCCCTTTTCCCCGAAAGTGAGGTACAAAGAAGCCTGCTTATCACTAACTATGAACAAACATATTTTCCCTGCAAAGCAACACAGCCCATGCCAAACCCAGAGGCTGAACACACAGTTCCAGCTCCCACAACCCATGTAACAAAATGACCATGTCCATCTATGTTTATAAAATATTTTTTTAAAGATTTTATTATTTATTTATTTATTTGATAGAGATCACAAGTAGGCAGAGAGGCAGGCAGAGAGAGAGGGGGAAGCAGGCTCCCTGCTGAGGAGGGAGCCCGATGTGGGGCTCAATCCCAGGATCCTGGGACCATGACCTGAACCCACTGAGCCACCCAGGTGCCCCAAGATTCTATTTCTTAAACTGAGTGTTAAGTGCATAGGTGCTTGTTGACCTGCTATTCTGTATATCTCACACACGTTACAGATTAGCTCATATCTAAGATTTAATAATATAATAAAATACCTTTTTTTAAAGACTATTTATTTATTTATTTGACAGACAGAGATCACAAGCAGGCAGAGAAGTAAGCAGAGAGAGAGTGGGGGGGAAGCAGGCTCCCGGCTGAGCAGAGAACCCGACATGGGGCTCAATCCCAGGCCCCTGAGATCATGACCTGAGCCAAAGGCAGAGGCTTAATCCATTGAGCCACCCAGGTGCCCCTATAAAATATTTTATTTCAGAATTAAACTATCTATTTCTAATCTTCCCACTATTACTTTTCTCCTTTCCAAAAATGATAAATAATATCTATCTACATAAAACTAAGAAGGTGTAACAGAAAAGAAATAACTTTGAACACTGTTAATGCATCCTTCAACAGATGAAACCTCCTTCCACCGAGAGCTACAGCAGGGGCAAGACAAAGGGGAGACCTCTGATGAGGCATCATCTATAATTCTTTGAGTGTATGTCAGTGTGATTTCGAAATAACACATGCCACATAGGGAGAAATGTATTATGCTGTAGAGAAAAAAAATTATATTTAGATAGCTACACCCATACATATTTCAAAAGTAACACCGTGGCTTTGCTCTAATTTTTATCCAGTATCTCTAAAGGGAATTTTAGAAATCATTCCAGGATTTGCATAATTAGACAAGTGTGATTTTTTTTTTTTTTCTCAGAACACTAGTTGGTTGGTTAATTCTTTTTGTGTGCTTTATAGTCTCCTGTTCTGCTGGGTTCTCTCCTAAGCTCTGGCCACTTCATTTAAGGGAAGCAAAAGGTAGTGATGCCACTGTGATTTTGCTCTTCCTGGACCAATCTGTCCTGTCTAAGCCAGCTCCCCTCCCCTGCCCTGAAAATGGTTAAGTTGCATCTTTAGGCAAGATGTTAGGAAACGCCAACCAGCACTGGAATGCATGGGTCAAGGGCATGTGAATTAAAATGTACAATTCCAGTTTTGACCCAGAAACAGACTCAAATCATAGACTTAAAGATGGGTGGGACAGTACAGTCATGTTAAAAGAAAAAGAGTGTAAAAATATTTTTAAAGCACTCAACAACGATCAGATAGTATTATAATTATTAGAGATTTCATAATATAGAATATTTTTGTCTGGCTCCCCCCCCCTACTATGTAGTATTTGTAAGAAAAAAGTCAGAATGGCTACTCAATAATCATAAATAATTCTGGAAATCTTTAAAGTGCCCAGTTTCTGCTGATGTGGGAAAATCTGTCACTGGATATTCATTTGGGAGGGTAAACCACCATTTTATATTAGATCGTAGTTTTTATTTTGTGTTTAACGCTCAAGAGCCGCAGAACACCTGCATTAAAGAGAGAAAAACCTTATGCATCTGTTTAAACACAATGACAGTTAATCTGAACATCTATCATTAGGCAAAATGACTAGAGCAGATCTGTGCAGAAAAAAATTTCAACATCAATGTTAGAGAAATGTTTTGTTTTGTTTTTAAATACACAAGTTTCTGCAAAGGCCTGGCTTTGAAGGTTGCCTTGCCCAGATATAAAAATAGATGGCTAAAATGTAAAAATCGATTGTAATGACAAACAGATCATTGCACTCTCCATAACCAGGATATTACAGAAACCTGAATATTTGTTTTAGTAGCACCGTGGGAGTAGGCAGACCTGAAAAACCCTCCAATAACCTTGAAAATAACCAGTTCTTGTTGAAAATTGAATGCCCAAAACAGGCGACACCAACCCAGTCCCTTTTTGTCCCTACAATTACAAGGATCAGAAGGCGTCTGACAGTCGCTGGGGAGTGGGTTGCCTTTCCTAAGTAGCAGCCAACAAGTGAGGGGCTACTCGGGATCAGGCCTCTGGTCTTCCCAGGAGCTCTCACTCTAGCTCTCTTGCACGCAGGGGACGAGGTCCAAGGTCCTTGTGCTTCACATTTCCTTAGGTCGGCTTTCCACAAGGGTGGGGGAAGCAACAGGCTCCAGTCCGAGCTGGGGGCTTCCACCGCACCCCGACCCACCCCACCCCCCATACAGGTTAGCCTTCCTTTTGTTAGCCTGGAGGATGCGTGGGAATCCAGAAGCCTAAGCAAGAAAGGAAAGGCGGCCCAGGACTCTGGAGCAAGACGAGGGGCGAGCCGGGGCTAGCAACTGAGTCTCTGAAACCAGCTCTCCTTCCAGGAAGGTCCGGTCCCGCGAGCTAGCCACGGCGCGGGGTCTCACGGAGCGCCGAGGAACAAGTCAGAGGGTGGGAGCCAGAAGCCCAGGGCCGTGCGGGTACCCGGTCCTCAGGCAGCGTTCCCGGCTCCGCCCTGCACCCCTGGCAACCTTCGCGCTGCTCGGGAGTCTCCCGCGGGCGCCTCGGGCCTCGGCGCACAGGACCTAGGAGTATGGTGCGCCCCTGCCCCTCTGGAGGGCGGAGCTCAGAGCAGTCCCATTGATGGACTTTGCGGTGTAGACCACCAGGGATTAGACGGAATGACACAACCCGGGCCCCCGCAACCCCGGGGGCATCCCGGGCTGCTGAGCTGGGTTCTGCCAGGGCCGAAGCTCAGGGCGAGGTGGGTGGCCAACAGCCGGTAATCCCTGCTGTCACAACACTCAGCTCAGACTGGATCGAACAGGCAGCAGGTAACCACCTGCCCAACCCTTCCAACAGTCTTGGTGAGCTGCTACCCGGAGAGGAGGCGGGGAGGAGAAAGAGGCTAGGGTGGAGGAAGGAGTGGAATGGGGAGGTGGGGAGAGGGGACACCGCGGAGAGAGGAAGAGAGTGCCTTCTGATCCTCTTGCCACTCCCCAGGCCTCCTGCCCCGTCCGCACGGACAACCGCAGATTGGCCCTCAGACTGAATGCCCCTTGTAAACTCCTGCACTGGCTTCCACTGGGCAAACAGTAAACGTGCCAGGCACGGTGCCAGGAGCTTCAGATACTCAAGACGATTCCCCAGACCGTATGTATGGAAGGCACCAGCACAATCCCGGCGCAGTTTTCCCCATGTCGCTCTCCCAAAGCCTTTTCCGTTTTGAAATTTAAGCAAGCTGGTTGAGAGAGACGTCCACGTAAACCTCGTGCACGCTGCGCTCCTCACCTCCGGGAGTGGTTGTTAAGGATGAAGATCCTAGCAAAATGGTCCTGCCTCGAAACTCAAACGGCAAAGAAAGACCAGCACATGCGCCCCGGACCCCTCCGGCTGCCCGAGGACGCTGTGTCTTCTCCAGGGACTATTTTCACCCTGAAAGCCTTCTCTGGCTTTCCGCGGAGGTTTCTGACAACTTAATACTCTACTACAAAATCCTTCCAAGTAGCTGGGATTAGACCCTCAAGAAACACTCTAGAGCCTCCCTGTCGATTACTTGCGCAAATAAAACACCTGGCACAGGTATGATCTTGAGTCCTGAACCTCTAGCAAACTGCAGAAAGGTGGCTTTTTTTTCTGCGAAGGTCATGCTTTTTTGTAAAGGCAGCTGCTGCTTGGTAAAAGGTGTTCTGTTTTCTAGCTCTGGTGGGGTAAGCGATAAGTAAGGCGCTGTCGGTCTTTCCTAGAAGTGGGATTCAGGGTAACAGGCACCTTCTATTACAAGAGCACCTCAGAAACTCTCACTCTAGGCAGGGTGCCAGTCTTTAGATGTAACACCCAGTTGTTTTTAACGACCCGCCGGCCCTGCAGAAATAGTGAGATCGACTAAGAGTCGAAGACCTCCCTTCAGGCCTTCCCTTAACCCTCAGCGGTCCCAGGAGTCCCAGTTCGGCTCTCTAGACCTTTAAAGATCTGTAAGGGCGGGCGCCTAGACGGCGGAGCTGCGTCTTGGTTCTCTATGGCCCCAGCATCCAGCGCTTTTGTAGTACGGGCTTTTGCGGAATAAAAGAAAGTGAGCAACACGAGGGTACTGTTTCCCTGCACCTTCTAACTTCTCTTTTTAGAACAGCCAGAGTCCTTCCCTTCTTCCCTCACAATTGCTGGGATACGGGGTGGGGGCGAAATGGCTTCGGTACCTTCTGGGTACACCAGGTGCTTTGCGTCTGCGGACGCAGGGGGACTCTGGTTCGATGCTGCGCTATACCTGGGAAGGCAGTCTACGACCGCCTTCCAGGCAGATTGGCATCCCTCGTGCGCAAGTCAATACTCTACGAAAGAAATTCCACGTGTAACTAAATTCAACACAGAGTCTTGAGCACATGCCAAACCTGGCAGTCAGAACCCTGGACCGTTCTGCGAGACCCCGGTCGTGCGCCCCGGCGCGGGAACTGAGGGAGCCCAGCTGTGGCACTGGGCGACAGCACGCGTCTGACTCCGCTGGTACAGGAACAGAGGCGCGGTCTTCCCCAACCGCGTTCCAGAACGCTATAGCCCTTAACTTAGGTTTGCTCGGTAGCCTGGGCCCCTCCCCAGGTGCCCCCTCTAGCCTCCCCAAGTAACCACGGCTAGCGGACCGCACTCACCTACTGCCAGGCAGATGGGGAGCAGCAGCCTGAAGATGAGCCCGCACACCACTTCCGAGGCCATCGCGTCAGTCCGGCGAGTCCAAGCACGGGGAAGAATTTCGAGGGTCCCTAAGACTGGGGCGTCAGGTCCATGTCCACCTAGGGCCTCGGGCGGCGGGCGGCTCGTAGCCGACCCAGCATCGCCTCGCAGAGGGCCGCCGCGCTGGCCGCCCCGAGGGCGCGCTCCCCGGGGTGTGGGCCGCCCCTCACCCGGCTCTCGCTCGCCCCTTGCAGGTCTCTCAGCCGCCCTTGGCCGATCTCTCCCCGACGCCTCGCTGGGCGCTCGGCCTCCCCTAACCAGGCTCTAGGTAGCCCCCTCGCCAAGCGCCCGACCCCCCCACGACCCGCCCATGAAGTATGGAATCCCCAGTCCGGCGGCGGCGGCCTCTTCAGCAGGGAGCCGGGGCCAGAACCCTGCACGGGGCACTTCGGAGGGTCCCGGGGGGGCGGCGCAGCGAGGAAAGGGGCCAGGAGGGGCGAGTTGTCCTTTAGCTTGGCTCCTGGAGCGTCGCTCAGGGACGGGAGGGCAGTTTTCTTCGCGGAATCCCCACCGGAGCCAACTTGCCTCTGCGGCCGGCCGCCGGCCCCCTGCCCACGCAGGCTGCCGCGCGCCGCCTTCCGCCGGGACTCTCGGAGCTGCCCGAGGTCCCGAGCCGCCCCGTGGCAGATCGTTGAGCGGCGGTGCAGCTCAGCCTCTGCGCCCCCCAGATTCGTGCTGGAGAGACCCGGGTGGGAGCGGCAAGGCGCGCAGAACCATCCCCGACTGCACGGGGCTCGAGCTATCGGTCCGGGGGTGGCGCTACGAGTCCCTCCTTCACTAGGAGGAATCGTGCGAGCGTGGGCAGAAATCGAGACGAAAGCACATAGCCAGTGGGTCCAGCTCCAATTCCCTCCTCCACGGCCTCAATTTAAAAAAAAAATAAAATGAAAACCAAACGCCGTCCGGATGCCAGCGCGCCCCCCGCCCGCGGCGGTGCAGCCTCGCCCTGACGGCGCAGCCCTGGCTTCCCCGCGGGCGCGCACTGCTCTGCCTTCAATGAAACTTTCGAAGCCTCACTCCGGGGACGGGCGTGCCCACGGACCAATGGGACCGCGGCTCCGGAGACGGCGCGCGGAGAGCCCGCCCCTGCGCTATAGCTCTCGAGTCCGGCGCGGAGCACCGAGGCGGCGAGCGCGCCCCCACCCGCGGCGCCGGCGCGCAGGGAGAAGCGCGGCCTCTCCCGCCGCGTGGACTTTTAAGCGTCGGCTTGCCCCTGCTCGGCGCCTTTCCACCGCTGCTGGCTCCAGCAGACCCTCAGCCCTGCTCCGTCCGGTCATTCTGCGGGAAACAGAAGCCACACGTCCTGGCATCCCGTCCACAGGGAGTGTCCCTGAGCTTACACAAACCCAGAGAATCGTTGGGTGCGCCAGGAAAACTGCACAGGTGTGGCACAAGAGTAGTCGGGGGCTTGAACAACTCTGTGGAACTGTCACTTGTGCCAAGTTCACGCGTACACTTGCATCGATTAAGAAAAATAGAACCCAGAATCAATCCAGACCAATGACCTCTTGTGAAGTCATTGTGAGAAGTTTCAAAGCCGAATGGGCTTTGAGAAATCCCCGGTCTTACCGAGAATGGGTGTGGGCGTTCAGATATGTACCCACTTAGTACATTCTGGAGAACTTTTCTTTTCGCCTCAGATTTGTTTGTTACTTGCTATGACTCCTGGGGCAAAGAGTATACGGTTTCCCTTTTCTCCTTATTACATCCCTTTTTTTCTTGTTTCCTGGGTGAGATCTAGAGAAATCGGTAGCCGCTGGGAGACGCCAGTGTGTCCGGGTCCCTCACTTCCCCCATTATCCAAGAATTGGGGAGATCTGCTGGAGCGCTGTTGAGATCCTCAGAAACATAAGACAGATGATTTTCTGATCTGTAGGGAGGACCATTCAGAGTTGTTTTTTTCCACCAAGAGGACGAGAGGGAAGAATTTAATTTCATTCAGCACCAGCATTCTAGGTTTGAATTGGTTGGAGATGATGGAAAAATCTGCTGATGAAAATTATGCAAACCTTCGTTCTCTGTGTTAACCATGTCTCCCTTCTTTGAGATACAGCAAACTTGTGTTCTAAGTTCAGATGCCTTCCCAAATTTTATGAGAATGACAAACTGAACCATTACTTTTTTAATAAAGACTGGAAGTAGCAAAATCTTGTGAAGATACCCCAAAACTTAGACCATGTGTATGCCCTGGAGCTCTGAAGAAGCCTGGATATCTAAACCCCAAATGTATTCATGAGCCTAAAAGTAGGGGTGGAGACAAAAGGAACTTAAATTATCAGCAAATCACTGACTACTACCAAGAACTGTTTTGTGTTTTGCAGAATCTGCCTAGCATTTGGATGGATGTTCATAGATGGTGTTCTCTTCCGCTCCCCCCCCCCCACCCCACCAACTTGTTTTGGACCTAAGAAGTCTCAGAGCCCTCCTGAATTTTAAATAGTATCATGTAACTACATGAATGTTCAGCTTTCTCTGAATATTTCCTCACATCCTTTCTAAGTTTTCCATACACCAGCCATGTAGATGCCTTCAAAATAACTAACATGGATGCTTAAGTTAGAAGACACAAGAAACCTAGCAGATAGATGATTTTACCAAATGTATTACTTGCTTTCTCTGCCACATTGTGTACTAATATGGCTGTTCAGTTTTTAAAGATACTAAGACCTGGATCCCTCTTAGTCTTACCAGCACATGCACCTACGGAGTTTTGTCTAAACTATACATATAAAGTATTTTCCATCTTGGCTGCATGTGACCGTCACCTGAAAAGCCCCGTATGGAATTTCAGTGCTCAGTCTCCACACCCAGAGATTCTGATTTAATCCTCCACACCCTCCCCTCCATGCCTATATTTTTGTGAAAGCTCTCATGTGATTCTCAGGTGTGCAGTCTGAGTAGAAAATCACCGTCCTCATTTACATATCAGAATTCAGAAGATGTGCTTTAAGTTTTCAATATGGGCATCACCAAACCAAATCCACCTTCCAGGGGTCTACATTTTTGTAATGGGGTGACAAAAAATGCATATCAGTAGTCAGTGGCATTGTCTTTATAAGGGCTATTTTACCCTAAAATTCACCTAAATTGAGAAGTGGTAGGTATCTAATACCTACCTTGTTTTTAAAGACAGCCTTGTTTTTAAAGACTCGCTAGTCCACAAGAATATTGCTCCCATTGGTCAGGACTCTAGCGTGGCTAGAGACCTTAATCCTCAATCTGAGCATGAAACCCAGTATGAGGTAGAAAATATTTGGGGGGAGAAAATTAACTACATAGAAAACTCATTAACACATTATTTTGATAATTGATGAGTTCCTAAAGCACATGACCCCAAGTTTAGCACGGTGATGAATTAAGCACCAGTCACCACATGCCTCTCTGCATCTATGTGGACAATCAATGCAACGGCTCCTTTTGATGATTACAGAGAGTTTAGTGCTTTGGAGTCCTCTTCCAAGTTGAAGAAAGTCATAAAACCTGCATGATATGTAATGGGTATAAGCAGAGAGAGACAATTTATAGAGTGCTAAGCAACATGTCTGGTGCATAGTAATCATTCAGTGACTATTAACTGCCATTATTACCATTATTATAACTGTTGTCATCGCTATTGCTGGAAAACAAGGACTGGTTCTGTATTTCTGAGACTGTCACACTAAGCACAGTAACCTGCTCCCATACTCAGGAAGATGCAGGGGATCTAAGTAATATGTTTAAAAACCGCGGCACAGTTGCATAACAGATCATTTCCTAAGCGTCTGAGTTTTAGCCATAAACTTTGTGCCTTGCGTTTGTTTCGTCTTGAGTTTGTGCCTTGTGTGGGTTTCATCTTACCTGTTTAGATATGATCTTTTCTGAACTTGGTTTAATGCTACATTTGGTTTAATGTTTCTGAATGTTTCATTCAGAAATAGCATCTTCAACCCTGGTGCTAATTTTCTCTAGCATGCTCAGTATTCAAACACTGCCCCATTTCATGTCTTGCCCTATGTCATTTATTATGCCCTCAAATGCTTTGTTAGCTTCTTTTGGAAGATCTCAGGGGTGGGTATCATCTCAAATGGTCACTCCGCAAACCCTATTTCCCAGAGGAACATAAAGTTGTCAACCTGGCATTTTCTTCTCCCAGCGACATCTGCCAAAATTCCTCGGCACCATCTAGCCTTACAGAGGATGGGATGCCTGCCTCCTGCCAGCTAGAGGATGTCTTCTAGCATTGGTAACATGTTTCCCTTAGGTATGTATCCATACAACATTTTTAGATGTATCCATTTCTATGTTTTAATTTATAAGTCACAATATTTATTTAGAAGTCATTTTAGTTAGACATTAGTTAGGAGCCACATAGTTTGGGGCTCCTATACTTGAAAAAATTTGGAAGCAGAACAGAAGCTTTTGCAACTTTTTTGAGCTGTAGATTTAATGTTTACAGTGGAAGTATTTTCAAGGTCCCTGTATTCCAAAAACCTAGATCACTTCTAATAATTTGTAAGAGACATCACCGTGTTATACCTCTAAGGTTATATCCCCCCAACAGTCTTTCCAGAGTCATCTACAGGGAAGGTGCATAAAACGTCTTATGTAGCCAGCAGACTGCTGATTTTGTGTCAAGAACCTTGTAAAATCAGCTGACATGTACAAGTGTTTTATCTTTCCAGTCAGATTTTAGGCTTTCAGCGCACAGACAAAATTTCATCCATAAAGCAAGGCATAAAGCAGGCTACACAGCCAAGCATTGTTTCTAAATGAGTTGCATTCGATTTATTTGCTATTTATTTGCTTCCATGACACTACACACACATGTCCAAACACACAAAATATCTATTACTGGGTAAGAAAGAGCTCATATGAAAACAATGGAGCATGTAAAATTTTACATTTTTTTTTTTTTGCAAGGTTGACACATAAAGAAAGAGATTATAAACTCATGGGGAGGGTGTTCTGCCAAAGTTGATGACTTGCCTTGGGCACACAGGTCCCCAGATGGCTGACACTAACACGTGGAAACCACCATTCATTATTCACAGCCAATATCAGGAGGAGATTTTTATCTCAGGAGTTGTCTGGCTGTTTTCCGTGTATTTGCTTTTGAAGGCTTTGAAGAGGTTGCTGGTCTAAAAAGGCTTACCAAACTCTGGGGAGAATTTTAAAATGGGCACTGAAATTGGGGGGACAATTCAACAGTGAATTACAGTCATTCGAAGCAACTTAATATGCAAAACAAAAATCACGAGATTTTCTCTTTATAGCTTCCCTGTCTGTATCCTAGTAGATATTTATTAGTTAATAAATACACACTTCAGAATGATTTCAATTCCAATTATATGTGTTTAAACTCCATCAAGATCTCTTCAATGGTCTTAGAAATGGTAATATTCTCAGTAAGCCTAAATAATTTTCATTCACTGATCTTTTATAGAAGTTTCAGATATGGGTATGCATTTAGTGTAAACAAGTTTTGGAACTGGCTCTAATTATTAATGTTAGCCCATAAGGAGGACTCACAGAGCCCACTCAATGACTATTAAGTCCTCTAGGTGGAAGCTTCGTTCACTTACTCTCCTGCAGTGCCACCTTTCGGCTAAAAACATATTGGAAAAAAAAAATACAAGTACTTAAGTCAGGAAAGGAAGCAATTAGGCACAATCCACAAAGGTCTCTTGCAGCCAAAGATACGCTGATGGGCTCAGAAATACAGCAGGAGCAGAACCAAGTGGTCGCTGCCTTTATGAAGCGAGCATCCTATCAAGACAGACATTAATCAAATAATTATAAATAATGAAGTAAACAATACACATGTGCAGAGCACTAAATGAGCATTAGGCATTACAGGAGAGTATAAACAGTGAACCCAACTCATTCCTGGGGAGTTCCAGGAGAATAGATTCCCCAAGAGGGTGGGGTTTATTGCAGTTTGGAGGGTGATGGATCCTCGAGAGGGTAAGCTGCATGAG